GCTGTTCTTGGTTCTGAACCTTCAGCGATTCAATCCATTTTAAATAAACTAGCTAGTTTTACCGCATGATTTGGCGTAAGCTTCACACCCACAATAAGTAAAGTTTTGCTAGTGAAGTGGATCAGACCGGTCAATCCATGTGGTGGACAAATTTGGTCATCTGAACAGCTGTCTGAAGATCGTCTGAAGACCGGATCATTTCTGCATTATGAAGGCAATAACAGCTTTCTCTAACCTTGGGTACATGTGATGTCAGCTTGTCTGCCAAAGCACCTGTACGACCCATGTATCAGAGACGTATTCCTGCCCAGGAGGTATACGAATAATTTTTGTGTTTTTATCACTGTTGTTCGGGTCTGGTTGGATTGCCAGATCAACAAAGCTGACATACATCGGATGGCTTTTGGAAAGATTAATCTCCCCGCAGTAAACAAGCTAATACTGTTCTGTAGATCACGGTGGTTAGGGGATGTCCTTTTGTCGGGGAATAATCTACCTTGCACATCTCTTTTTGCCCTACAATATACCATTGACTTCCTGGGTCCTAGCTCATCAGCAAGTGGTGATACTGATAGCCATGACTTAGTCACGCAATGTGCACCTCTCCCGTATCAGCGCTATTGCTCCAAATGTCTGGCTGCCCAGTCTCCCACTTAATGAGGACGATGTGAACTCACTTTACAGACCAGGTAATCGCCCCGATTGACTGATAACACCTTACCTACTCTCCACTTTCTCGGTGTGCGAAACTATGGTACGTGGTTTATAGCATATTTACTGACTGAATGGTCGTATAGCTTTTTAAGTGCCCTCTTTTATTCGGTATGGTTGTTTTGCTAAGTCTACAGCTCGAGGTTGGCGAAAATGTATCGGTAGCTTTCTAGATCTTGGCAGTTGAATGCACGTCAGCCATCATTGCAGTCGTGCGACTAAGGACACCTTGGATTAAGTGTTTTCCACCCCCGCCTTTAACCTATTAGAAACTGGAACCGATCGATAAGTCACACTTCAGAACAATTTGGCGAACAGTTCACCGGTTGTTTACCAAGGCTTTCTGTAACAGGAATTTATTTTTATGCCCGCGGCACAGTTACGACCATTTGGGTTGCATAGGGTTAAGATACTTCCCAGCTTCGCAAGCCATATTTGTACTTTGTAAAAAGAAAAATATCTACCTTGCCTGCTCCCAAACTTCTTAGACTCGTTAAAGTCTGATCCGCTCAGTCAGGCCTTGCTTAACAACCACGTGGGGATCGCTCATACACGTTGGGCTACTCATGGTGAGCCAAGTGAACGAAACGCACATCCACAAACATCCGGTGAAGACAACGCATTCATTGTGGTCCACAATGGCATTATTTCTAATCACAAGGATCTCCACGCGCTGCTGGTATGTCTTCGTTGTTCTTGTCTTAGAGCTTTCAAAATTTTTAATGCGTTTTCCGACATATGGTGTGCTGCTGTAGGACTCAACGCATCATCTCCCTCCCGAAGTGGACCCGCTTCGATCCCAGCAAAGATCAGACGCCCGTTTCACTTTGGTGACGTTTCATCAGGAGATTTTGTGTATTAGTTTGAACGTATTTTTGACGTAATCAGAGGTGCGGTGGCCGGTATTCTTTCCATTACCTGGTGCCGTCATTACTGTCAGTATTATTGTTTGAGCTGTGGAGCATTGGCCATAATTACTCAACACAATTTCGTTAATCTTAGCGCCAAAGAGATGGGGGTGGTAGCTACGTTTCAACGCCTTATAAACTATATTTGTCATACATGTGGCTTGTTGGAAACACGACAAAGTTTACCGATCTTTATGAGTTACTTTACGGATCACCGTTGCACTTCTTCGGTGCCATTTGAGACTAGTCGAAAAAGAGCGGATGGCCAAATAGTGCATGCAGCGCGCAACGGACTCGCCGTAGTCATCTACTGAATGTGTTGTGTCGCTTGTGGTCCAGCTCTTCAGTCCATCTGACACGAACCGTGAAATCGTCATAAAAAGTAATGGGATGACTTGTGACTACTGGTTCGTTTACTTAATAAGTCGAATTACTGTGTCGCAGTGTAAATTATAGAGCTTCAGATGTAAGCTCACAGAATTTTGTTTTTGGGGAGGTGATCAGTAGCCAATAAACGTGCGACCGATGGTTGTGGTAAGTGCATCCTTCGAAAAGCTACCCTCCTCAGTCAAAATAGCCGATTAGTTCACCAAATCACTCAGCTGTTTGACCTCCGGTATTTTTTTCACTACAACTCAACAACCCATCTCCTTTGATCTTCTGAAATCGGGAACGACCCTGATGCTGAATGACATTCTTATGTAAGTGAGTATCTCCGGCCTGATAGATAAACCAGAATCGATGCCCTCCTTTCAATGGCTGTTGTCCACAGACTTGGTACGTCAGATAGGTACGTCATATACTCCTTCACCTCGTCTGTCGTGGTAATCTCGGCCTATCTTCTGATGCCAGAATAAATCGCTATATTTGTCAAAAAAGTTTCCTGTCTCGCTGGTTAGGACAACATTCCACTCGGTGGATATCCCGATGCTTCGTTTTTTCCCTATGTATTGAGTCGATCCTATTTTTTTTCTCATAATTTTGCACATCGCGTCGAATGCAGGCTGACACTATGCGGGGGACCTGTTTAGACAGTGCAATCTATGCGTCGGGCTGTCTCAGCCACTGGCAACGGTACTCTCTAATGGTTTTGATTTCTTTTGATTTTTTATTCGACCAAGTGGCACTACGAGTACTACAGTGGTGAACCGGTGAATGAAGTCCAGTTCTTTTGATTTGATGTCTTGTGCCAGTTCGACCAGCCGGTAGCTTGTTCAGTCTGCGTACGTTTGTACCCGAACTTACAAGTCTGGAGGATTGAGTGCGCAGTACTTTAGTAGCTTGAAGCTAGGTTTTGGCAGGTGTTGTGGATATTTCTGGGGAATCGATTTCTTAGCTCCAGGGGTCGTCAGATGAAAGGAGGTTTAAGTCGGAAGGCAGTTGTAAAACTTCCCTGGTCAACTCGGTTTTAGGACACATGCTCCCGATTACTCATTCGATCACCAGGCTGCTGTGGTTCAAGTCAGAAATTTTCTTAGGACGTGGATAGCCACTGGATAAAGCTTTACCCTAGAAACCGTTGTTTCTTCCAGACTACAACTTTGCGGAAGCCACCCGTCCTACCTACCCTTTCACACTGTTCCTTTCTTTTCGAATTTAGATTCGGCGTGGATTCACCTTCAGCTCTGACACAGATACGGAAGTGATTCCGAAACTAATGCAGCACATTTATGACCGACACACTGAGACGAAGCCACTTACATTCCTGGAAGTGGTAGAACTAGTCGTTAAGCAATTGGTAAGTTTCACCTTTCCAGCGGTGTCCGGCTATGTTTTTATTTGCCTAAATTTTAATGCAAAAAGAGAAAAGCGGTCAGCTGTTCCGCTGCGTAGCTGCCATGCCAACCGAAGGAGGCACGAAGGCTGGGATACTGCCGGTTGCCCAATCCTAGACAGGGAAACTCGAGAGGCGCTCTAACCACTCGGGCCATTTCGTCGTCATCTCATCCATTGAGGACAGGAGCGCCGCTGTTGATACCTACGGCTGCAAACAGTAATTTTAAAGGCCACTTAGAGAGCTTGGTCAGGACGTCAGCTCTGTTTAACCACGTCAGTCTGATATAACCCTCAATGAAACGGATTATTGGATCTACAAAATTTCATTCACTTTTCCACTGTCCAAAGTTGCAGTCTGTTTGTTGTCGGTTGATTGAAAACTACGTGGCACCAGATTTGCTTGTCCAGCATTTTTGCTTTCATTTTCAACCCTGAATCGATAACTGACAGCCCCAAAGCATAGCAGATACATATTTTCTGTTGTTAGCTTGTGATGTCGAGTTTTCACAAGTAGGCGAAGTGCGGTTGTTTAAGGTTACCCTTGAATAAAATCGTCTTCTATTGTCAGGAGTCCTCAGAAGTATTCGTACTCATGGAGTTAAACGTTCACTCGAAAATTGAGCTGGTGTCTACGTGTGCCTCGAATGAGGCCCACTTATAATGCTCGTATGTGGTATTCAAACGTCGCCTGTTTTTTTGGACACCTTAAGTGGTGAAGCTGGTATTTGGCCATTAGTCTTCATCATCATCGACAGCATGACATCAGTGGTCAGCACCTATGCTTCACTGACGGGGGCGAGATGGACCAAGTGGTTAGAGCGCGAATTTACTGACAGGAAGGTCCGTGGTTCTAGCCAGACCTCTGCCACTCGACTTCCCCTGTCTAGGCTTAGGCAACCTGGCAGTATCCCAGCCCTCGTGCTTCATTCTGGTGGCAGTTAGGCACCGGAAAGGTGTTGCAGCTGAACGATTTCGTTTTTATTCATGTTGCCTGAGGCATATGCTCCATTTTTTTTACTAGTGTTGCGTATCTGCGATTCTGTGGATATTGGCGTGACATGGCGAACCTGTATCCGTCATGTGTGATGTGAGGAACTGGTGTTTTTCATCTAAACAAAAGTTGAATGAGAACGACTAAACGCAGCAAGTTATGAAAGAACACGTATTCTCGTGTATCAACAATGGTTATAAGAAAGTTGACGGATATGAATTCGTCATGTGTTCTCGTATCTTATCCGTCACCTATGTCACCTTGCAACAGTAGTTTAAACGAAAAAATGTTCCAGCGAATGTTCCCGGCTGCACTGCCAGCTAAGACAACTCAGTTCACGCTAGAATGGTGTTCATCGATATGGTGGGTTAGGGAATCAACCGTACTGATGAAGTGAATTTTTTCAGGCAACAACAACAAGTATATGGACCCATCGTATAGTCGAATCTCGCTCCAACATATCCTTTTGGGGCGTAGGTCAGTTATTTAGGGAACCAGAATTTGTCTCCTCTTCGGTTCTGGTAGACTGTTTTAGGATGCCCCGTATTTGCACGTCACCGGTAGTCGCCGAAAGGTGTAAGGCAAGGCGCTGGTTGTCTCTGGCCAACTGCGGCCCGCCCCACATATGCGGCCTTAGCGCAGGTCGACTCAGCCAAGGTGTAACACTCATCGACGTGATTGGGCATTGGGTCAGAGCACTTAGACAGGTTGTAGTAGTTCGTTGAAAATTCAAAAAGCGCGTCTCTGATAATCTCTGATTCTCCCTTTGTGGCGCGGATTTTAGCCTAGGTGGTTGAGATTGTAAGCATTGTATCTAGACAGTCCTCCTTGCTTTAATCCAAAACTTCTTGAATGCGTTGAAGTTTTTGTGAAAACTTCCGGATCAGTGAACCGGGAATCAATAACCGAGTTTGTTAGCACAGCAGTTCAATGCCCTCCCTTGTTCTCTTTATTTAAGACAAAGTTTTTTCAGTGTGCGCTTTACCACAGTTTTCTATCTCCCATCTTCGTTGTATTCTTACAGGAAGGCTCCTTCGCCTTGGCTTGCAAGAGTCGGTACTATCCAGATGAAATAGTCGTTACTCGGTAAGTAAGGACGGTGGCTTTGTCCCAAATTGTGCTGCTTCCTTTACGTCTTTGTACGTTTGTCGATGAGTAACCTTTGCACCACTCAGGTCCAACTCATGAGTGTTGTCCACTGGTTTCCACTGGAAGACACTGAGCAATTTCCGGTCAATTCTGTGATAATTGCGGACTAATTACGCCAGAACAGGAGGACGACCGTCCAAACGAGAGTGGTGTGACTATGAACAAAGAATCTATCCCGCAAAACCCCAAAATTGCAACCAAAAAGTTGCCCAGTCGGTTTTAATCGTGTGTCACGCTACCTGGCTGGGAAGTCCTGACTGGCGGGTCAATGGATCGTCACACCAGGGCAGTTACTGGGTTATCGTTCGATGATTCAGGCAAACCAATCACATCGCTCAAGTGTGAACACGTTTTCGTTCCGACGTGAAGATTCAAACGCGTCCAACATGCGTTGGTGGAGTATTGGTTGCACGCTAGCCTCGCATGTCAAATGTCTGGGGTTCAAATCCCGGCACGGCCATTGGATATGCACTACTGATGAGCTCTGATAAGAGCGAAACTCGAGTCCAGTGCTTCCCTCTGGTGTGGACTCACCGGAATACTTACGCCAGGACTGGAGGGCGACCGTTAAAACGAGAGTGGTATGACTGAACAAAATCCTATGATAATGTTATTATTACCATCCACTCTTTCTCACTAAGCGGATGCTTTCCGATGTTTCCAATCGATTGAAGCAATGACATGTTTCAGTCCCACATTTCCCGTTGAATCTATGCCATTTTTGCGGAACAATCACTTACCATCTGGCCAGTAGATTACGTCGTAAAGAATCGCAACAAATGCGAGTCTCGCATCAGCAAAACGAATGCAGTTTTACTTTTGGCATTCTGATGGCGGTGTTCTACGGGTGGTAGGAATGAGCCGGTTCGACTCTAAATGTTAGTTGAAATGCCAGATGCATGCAACAGTCAATGAACGAACCGGTGCGTTTTTCCTGCAAGCCGCTTCGTTGAATGCCTGCTGTTCGTTTTCATTCATTCTGGTTGGCTTTCAGTAGATACTCACGGGCTTCTTTAGGGCTCTCCGTGCACATCCTAACGTTACTGTGAGTCTCAACCCCATCGGATATTCATCTTCTCTTTAGCTTTCGAGGCCTGATTTTGGGATTCTCTTGTTTACACACTCAAATAGTAGTTGACCACTGATGACTGCCGCGTCCTGTGTTAGGGGCAATGAGTAATGCAGCAATGAGCCGCCGTGTTCCCCAACAGGGTCCACAAAAAGTGAGGGTTTTCGACTTCCTTTCTGGTCAACTCTCTTCGGTGGGATCTTACATCTGGGTCATGGCTGCCGAGCATGCTGTACATTCCTTAAGGGAGTAGGTGAGGTGGCTCAGTGGTTAGAATGGGAATTTACTGGTCAGAAGGTCCGTGGTTCGAAACCCACCCCTGTCTTTCGACTTCCTCTGTCTAGGCTTGAGCAACCTGGCAGTGTCATGGCACCGAAAGGGTGCCGAACGATTATTATGATTATTGTTAAGTTTAACCAGAGATTTTTTTCACGAAGGCTCACTTTATGTTAAGAAAGACGTCAATAGACAACCAGGTATTTCACCCTCACTGGAAGTCGTCAGGTAGACAAACACTATCGGTTCTGTCCAACCTTGAGTAGTCGTTGGCGCCAGGTTTCTGGTTGTTTTCTTCGTAGTGGATAGTCTAGGTTGGCGATGAAAATAGGTCGGGGAACATTTCCGGGGGGGGGGGGCATCGCATTTCTGTTGTACGATCGTGTTTGATACAGCTCAAGGGAACCTAGCTAAGTTAGGTGACTATTATACATAACTGGTTGCGACATTTTACCTGTCTATGATACTTTCTTGAAATACCATGTATCGGACGGATAGTTTTAACATGGTAATTAGATTCATGAACCCCGTCGAAAAGACGTCTTGTTTATCTTTGTAATATACTACTCATAAGGTTGCTGAAAATCCGTCGACAGCCCACGACCGGTTTTGCCCTTTCTGGGGCTCATCAGGTAGGCGCAGTCCCCGGGTTTCCACCAACCTTATGTTCTACTTGAAACCATTACATTATAAGGATACACATGTATCGCGATATCTCGAATATCGTAGCGACTGAAACATGAGGTGACCTGGCGCAGCACATTCAGTTGCCTGCGAACATCACAGACGAGAGATTCAGCTGGGTTGCAGGTGAGTCTCTCGAAAAACCAAATTAGTTTGCAAATGAGTGTATATTCGCTAAAGACGTCTTGTTTCCTCCAAAGCAGTTTGTTCTACGGCAAGGGGCTTTGCTATATATCCTTTATTTGTCAGTCTGCAACTCATCCAAAAGACAAAACTAGTTGGACGTCATGCCTTCTACAACCTTCCAAAAACGGCAGTTCACGGGCTTGGTAGCTGTTTCGCGACTAACTAGTAAATATTCGGGTTTTCTTGACGGAACATGCTACTCTTGCTAAAAGCCCTTCGATAGCCCGCAACTTGTTCCATCCCTATCAGGCGCAGTCCCCAAGCTTTGTCAAGAAAATACACTGCGGTATCCCGAATATCCTTCCGACTGAAACATGAGCCGGCCTTATGCAACTTGTTTTTCCGGGGCTTTATCGGTTTGCTTCTCAACGTTTTTTTTTGATTAACTACCTGTGTTTTTTCTTCCATGTACTAACCCGCATTTGTCCAATAAATGTGGCACGTATGGTATCTATTGACGACCTTTCCGGAACCGATAAATTCCTTGATTCTATTGTCTTCTCGCTCTAGTTGACTTCCATTAATTATCATTACTTTCCTGTGGCTTTTGTTCATATTCAATGTCTTGGACTCAGAGAAGCCTCTGTCGGTAGCTGACCCCTGTGCGTGGTACGCGGGAGAGGGACACATAGATGGTTAGTGACACTAACAGATGTGAGCAACCAATGGGGCTCCTGCGTTTAGTCTGTTCAATTTATTGTGTAGCTGTCCTGATCTCCACTCTATCTGAAAAGTACAACAAATCAACGTTTGTTCCAGTTCCCTCCATCCATACAGTCTTGTAGCTGATTAGTCCATCCTCTCGAGGGTGTATCTATCATCCTTATCAAGTATTATCTCCCATAAACGAAACTAGAACCAACCAACCAACTTTAGGTACATAGCCCATGGTCTCCACCCTGCAGACGTTTCCTTCCTACACTGGATAAACCCCTCTGGTTTGGTGGGACTCTACAGTCCAATCCCAATTCACGTTACCTTTCTGCAAATTTTCAGTCGTGGATCCCCGCTACTGGTCGGAATAAAATGCCGTCACGAACTCACGATGAACCATCTTCCAGTCTTTTTCAGGGACAATCGTAAGTTGCAGTGTTTTTCTCTTCACCGACTATCTCACAATTTATTTTGGTTGCTAACTAGTCCTGATTTCAAGCCATCATGGTTGTTTAGATGTTACGATCAAAATACCGATCTCACTTGAAGCTGTTTTCGGTCCTGTGCGCACGCATTTTCGGACGTGATTGGAATAAAGTCAGAGGTCACGCAAACTGCCAAACACCAGGTGACCAATTCGGCCAGGTTTAAGGACAGACGGAGAACCAATTAAGAGGACATCTTCCGATTGAGCCAGTTAAGGGACGTTTCTCGAACTGAACCTTACGATCCATGGGTTGTGGGAATTTCAACTCGTATTTTATCGTTTTTGGGTCCTTGATCTTCCGGTTCAAAGCGCTTCACTTGATGGAGATTGTTTCCTATCTGCCCAGCAAAAAACCATTCCAAACGAGTGATTCGCCACTGCTGAGTTCACAGAAGTGCGGTATTAATTTAGATTTCCTCGCAGATGCGACTTCTAAATCAGGTGATTTCGCTCTCATTTAAAATTCGTGGGAAGTCTTCCACATCCATTTCGAGCTCACTGAGGTACAGGAAAGCTGCAAATCGATCGTAGAAGATTGAATTCGTTTTCTCAACGTTTATAAACGCGAGCGGAATGATTTCTTTCAGGCCTCAGAAGTTTAATCTAAAGCACTCCGAATTCCCTCTGCGCAGTCGATAAATGTTTGCTCCTTCGGAAGCTTCAACAGCCGTTTGCTCCTTGGAGCAACGCATCTGTAAATTCGATTTCATGTCCACAAAGTGTATTTTCAAGAGTGAGAGCACAGTCCTATTATGTATGAGTACTTCTGACGATTGGGGCGTGGAAATAGTTCCCCTTTTTGGGAATCCTCATCCAAAACGAATTATGAACTTCATATCCGACCGCAATTCATCGCCAGTGGACCTCGCTATTGGTCGTCAAGTAACGCTCCACGGAAGTGTCAGTACGGGACTTTTGTGAAGCCAACTTAAAGGATAGTCACCTCGTAGTAAAGTAAACGTGAAATGAAAACCCTGAACTTTTTACATAATTCACTCACTACTCGCACCGACGGATTGAACCCGGGTCGACTCGCGGGTCACAACGGCGGCCACTTTAACTCTATTTCGCCATCTCTACAGATTACTGCAAACGTTTCATCACCGGTCGAAATAACAACGTCCGTGCGTTAAGGTCGGAAGTGTGTGTGGGTTGATACAGAGTCCACTCACCATGACCGATCATTGGTCGTTTGAGTGATCATTCCTATTAGCTTGTTGTTTGACGTGTCTTTAAGTTGGTAGGCTTGAAAGTTGATGTCTTCGGTGACCCCGCCGTGGCCTTCATTCGTTTTCCTCCACAATGAGATCCGTTTCTTGTCCATTGGTCTGGTGGCCCAAGCTGATTCAGTGTCACCCTCACTTGGCAATCCCTTCCTGGTAACGGTGCGTACTCAGGGTCGATTGCCATATGTCGGTTGACTGAATCCTTTCCAGAAAAGACACAAAACACTGCAAAATGAAAGCTGTCGGAAAGCCGCGGTTGGTTTCGACACACGGATCTTCCGGTCAGTAGTCTCGGACCTTTATCGTTGAGGACCGAGAGACTTTTTGTCGGACCATCAGGAGAGACTCTGGGTGCGAAACGGGCACTCTTTACCATAGTTTCTGTCGCGCGCGAGCCGTCGCACCACTCTGGGGTTCAGTCTGTTCGCTACAGCTTGGACGAACTGCCTTCTGCAGCTCACAGCTCAGTCGTTTGTTTTCGCGATATCACTGGAGTTGGTTGGTCCACGCTGAACTAAGCCGTTTGGATTCCTCTCGAATAATGCGAATCCCATTTGTGTTTGATGTGGTGGCGTATTGTGTTTCTGCTCATAATGAGTGTTTGTCATATCTCTCATTTCGGTACTGCACAGATGGAATAGGTGAGTGAGATTTTCTTAGCTCCGCCTATCAGTGCGTGCGCCATTTAGTTTCTTTTTTTGTATTCAGCCAGCCCCCGATAGCACAATCCTCCCACGCTTGAGATCATTTTGAGTTGCACGACACTTTTTATCACAATTATTCCCGCCATCTGTTTTTGTTCAAGAAGGCCTGGTATGATGCTAACGACCTTTTTTCTTCTTCGGAAAACCCCTTCTTACTCTGTATAACTGCCCTGTGTTATCGGATTGCGTTGGTTTGAGAGTTTTCCCTCACCTACCACTCCACCTGGCCCGGTAACCTTGTCACCAGACAGATATCCCAGGCTTGTGGGCATGCGCACTTTTTTGTGTGTATGGGGTTGAAAACTACATGTTTTGACCGCCTAAACACCTTTCAACACGTTTTATTCCCGTCAGTCTGCAATATCTTGGTTCATTGACGACGGTACACCATTCTTGTTTCGCCAATATATGTGCTTTGTGCAACCTGTGTAGGTTTACAATGCGATGATGCAATTGCCTCAAAACTCCAACCTCAACTGACGCTAAGGGATTCCCTCCACCATGAATTGCACATCACTGAAACTCTGGGGAGCGGTTCGGTAATTGGCCGTGGTAAGCGCATATCGCAGTATCGATGTGACGGTAGCCCTGATTCTCATCGTAGCCTGCCAGCTGAAGCACAGGCGTAATCACACTGAGTGCAGGTAAGGGTATGAGGACCGATCATATCAGTAATCAGAACGAGGAATGAGTCTCGTACTCTAACTCTCTATCTATAGCATAATTATGCCGCATAGCTGCCACGAAATTCGAAAAACCCAACACACTTGAGGTACTGGCAGGTTGCAGAAGAAATAATCGTTACAATCTCAAATCTAGAGATGGTCATAAAGGTTGAAGGCTCTTGTTTTTTCTCGTAAATCACTCCGTACGCAATCTTGTTTATGAAACCTTTGCGGCCTCTTGGCTGGGACCTGTGTGGCTCTTGCAGGTGACTGGAAACCCTATGGTACGTGGCACGCAACCGACTTCCGTGACGAGCATCCTGTCATATTTCAACCAGACTACCTGGTTGAAGACTGTCTGCCGTTGTCCCCTTAGTTTATTGTGGGTGTTTCAAAAAATACACTTTTTCACCAGTAAAAACTAACCTAAAGATTCGTTTACCTACTAATTTGCTTTCAACGGGAGACTCGGCTGAATTCAGCTGAACACGAATGAATGTGCTGTACAAGTCCACATCGTATTCTAGTTGGAACGACATTCGATAGACCACTGGAGATTATCTAGACGAAGTACACTTTTCACAAGATTGGTGAAATCAGCCCTAGTGAGTAGTTTGCTCTGTCCGCAATGTCTCAGATTTTGTCTTAACTGAAATATGAAGCGATCTTTTGCAGCACATTCAGCTGTATGACATCGTAAACGAGCGATTCAACTGGGATTCAAATGAGTCTCTCGAATTAAAACCAAATTAGTACGCCAATGAGCATAGTTCGTAAGATGTGCCCAATAGGTTGATGAAAACTCGGGGAGTGTGCCTATCTGGAGGGCTCAAAATAGCATTAAAGCAGTCGTGAGATGTTGAGAAGTCATTGACAACCTTGTGAATAGTGTGTTCCGCTAAAGTTCTCAGTGCTGGTACAAAAGATCAACAACTCATTACCCGCTTGACTGAGGTCAGGGCACAAGTATCTTTATCGTGGATGCCATCATGGTGTAGATGCTCCACGTCTGTCTGTCTGTCTGTCTGTCTGTCTGTCTGTCTGTCTGTCTGTCTGTCTGTCTGTATGTATGAATGAATGAATGAATGAATGAATGAATGAATGAATGAATGAATGAATGAATGAATGAATGAATGAATGAATGAATGAATGAATGAATGAATGAATGAATGAATGAATGAATGAATGAATGAATGAATGAATGAATGAATGAATGAATGAATGAATGAATGAATGAATGAATGAATGAATGAATGAATGAATGAATGAATGAATGAATGAATGAATGAATGAATGAATGAATGAATGAATGAATGAATGAATGAATGAATGAATGAATGAATGAATGAATGAATGAATGAATGAATGAATGAATGAATGAATGAATGAATGAATGAATGAATGAATGAATGAATGAATGAATGAATGAATGAATGAATGAATGAATGAATGAATGAATGAATGAATGAATGAATGATGAGGAGACTAAGGCGCGGGATGGAAACGAATCTGTTGTATAGACTATCAGCACGCATATCCAAGATGCACATACCTCCAAACCCTTACTCAGACAAACGAGATAAAAACTTACCCACCGGTTGGCAGCACTGTCCTGCTAGGAGCACGAAGTAGCCGATCTCGGAGGACGAACAGTACTTTCGATCCTTTCTGTCAATTCGTTTGGCGTCCACCTCCTTTTCCGCGCTACCATAAATCTGATGAGGAAAGCAGCTATCTCGCCGGACGATACTTTAGCTGAATACGCAGGAAGTTTGTTCGTCTTCTTGTCATCTTTCGTCTTACTGAGCCCCACACGACACCGACCCACCGCCTAATTTGCCCCATTTTATCTCCTTTTATGGCCAATATCCTTTTTTCGTCACTGCTACCTGTGTCGATCCCGCAACCTCACTGTTTCCGCACCACTCCGTAATTCCGTCCATCTTCGCCAAGTGATTGTGCCCTGCCGCCTGACTGACCTTTCAGCTTCGTATTTTTCTTTTAAAGCTACACCATCGCTCTATCTATATTCCCGCTTTTTTTAAAGTTCCAAATGGTTTACGCACACACTTACCGTCGTCTTGTTTACTTTTTGTTGTGTATTTTTATTTATAAGGCGCCTCCGATCGTGAAGCTTCGCTTCTTCTGTAAACCGTTTTGTTCATTGTAAAAAAACATTACCGAAAAAATTATGCGTGCACCGGCCGAGATGATTAGGGCGCGAATTTACTGACCGGAAGGTACGGGGTCGAACACAGCTTCGTATTTTTCTTTTAAAGCTACACCATCGCTCTATCTATATTCCCGCTTTTTTTAAAGTTCCAAATGGTTTACGCACACACTTACCGTCGTCTTGTTTACTTTTTGTTGTGTATTTTTATTTATAAGGCGCCTCCGATCGTGAAGCTTCGCTTCTTCTGTAAACCGTTTTGTTCATTGTAAAAAAACATTACCGAAAAAATTTTGCGTGCAACGGCCGAGATGATTAGGGCGCGAATTTACTGACCGGAAGGTACGTGGTTCGAACCAGACCTCTGACTCTCGACTTCCATTGTCTAGACTTGGGCAACCTGGCAGTATCCCAACCCTCGTGCTTCCTTCGGGTGGAATGGCAGCTAAGCATGGTTTTGAAAATCTTGGTTGAATCTATGTCCCTTGAATAATATACTGTGCTGATTCGTTTTTTGGAGTCATTATTTTTGTGATTTCCGATCGTCACTCGAAAACATCCATCTAAATGTTGGGTAGTTGGGAAACACAGCTTTCTAGAGTTTACAGCGGCAATGTCTTTTTTGTGGCTTACTTCCGATGCTTGCTGACTGAAGCACTCAAACTGACCTACTCCGAGTAACACCTTTCCGAGGGAGACCAGGAATCATGGCATATATACTTCGTCGTCAGAAGAAATATATTCTGCTCCTTTTGGTCTGCCTTGGCATAGACCCTGCCTCCGTTTTTGTCCATTTCTCACATTCCGTTGGCAAACTGGGGATCATATCTAACCGACGACCTCGGTAGTGCACTGCTTTTCAGCGGCTTTCATCAACCTTGTGGGTATTGCCATGTAGATGGTCTTCGATTCACCTACATGACCGATTAGTTACTTTTCACGCTCCATTAACTTTGATCCCCAACGCAGGGAGCGTGCAACCGTTTGGTCATCAATCTGCTCGTATCCAGTTTGGTGGCCCTTCATCGATTGCCGTTTTTAATGGAAGAGTTATTTACAACAATGACTACCGCTCATTGTGGATATTCTTCAAAAAAGACGTTTATTACAGCTACGCAAAACGAGTGTGGTTTAAGAATCTCACTGGTGGTTGCAGATGCCTCGGATTCGGGACATGTCGATCGAACTTCATGAGAATTCGTTGTACGGTATTTCCCAGCACCATCTCGCATCCATTCGTCTCTGTTTCTCCCCTTTATGCAGGTACAATCTCAGAGGGGTATAAATTTAATTCATCGTGACTGTTGTACCCACTTGTTCGGAATATCTGGTATTCATACGATTTCCCAATGAATATGGGTGCTTTCGTCGCTTCAGATTATACGTCACAAGTCCCCTCCTCGAAACTTTCCGCCTTCGTATCAGGATAATTTAAGCTTTTTATCAATTCATTCTCATTTTCTTGTCGATATCACCAACGAAAGATACGGGAGATTCTTGGAATAAAATCGATCAATTGAATCAGTTCTCGTATTCTTGCTGCTAGGATTTTTTCAGGACTTTCTCACTATTTCAATTGCAGGTGTTTCATCCTTCCTGCTGTAGCTTGGCACCAGGCTTTCCAGGTACCCATCACCTTCAAGCAGGCTAGAGTTGACTAGCATCTGGTGACCGTATCAATCAGGCAGGCGTTCTCTTTTCCCACAATCTCAGATACCTAATAACCGCTATTTTACATGCAGTGTCACGCTCTCAGCACGCTTTGTTGTTCGGCAAACAGCGGTTCTGATTTGCTACCAGTCCCTGTAAAAGTTCAAAACTACCTGGATGGAGACCTCTAATGCCAGCCTGCAGGAAGCCTAAGAAAGAACACAGTATTCCCTTTGTTTTACTTTCGGTATCAATACTTCACGTAGCTAGGATGAACACACCAGCGCCTCCCCATCACTCACTATTCGTTAACCTCGAAATGTGCATTTGCTTTTTCGTTTCAGCCAAAACCTATGAGGTCCGTACTGCATTTGCCAGCGGCGACACGGTCTCTTCCAGCGCATCGAATCATTACGTCAGCGGAACGCCTTCACATAAAGAGATTGAATTTTTTTTCGCTAGTGACGCAAGGTAGGTTTGTCTGATCAGCGTTGCACTATCTGTGTACAGTATATTACGCACATCTCTACCCAGTGTTGTGCTCTGGTTTTCGCTAGTGACGCAAGGTAGGTTTGTCTGATCAGCGTTGCACTATCTGTGTACAGTATATTACGCACATCTCTACCCAGTGTTATGCTCTGGTTCGCTTCCCGGCTGCCTTATCTCTCTCTCTTTTCAGTTTATATTCGGTTACTACTATGTGCTCTGTCTGTATGCCTGATGTTTGACAAGCCTATCACCATCGGGATCATCACAACCTACGTGAATGGCACAGATTTTCTCAATCTGGCTAAGGATACATCAGAATGGATCCTCTGTGACGTTTTCAAGCGAAAACATCCACCGTTCTTTTTCATTTTTCAGTGGGTGTCGCTTTTTGTGGCAAATGCTCATCGCTCCCCATGCTACGAGTGAAAGCGCTTCCGCAGAATAAGTGCAACTGCGGGAGTTTTGTCGCCTTTTAGACCCAGTCTGTCAAAGCGTTCACCTCCAAGTGAATCTGTTTCATGATCTTGGGTTGCAGTGCATTCAGGCAAGGTACCCGAACCCTATTTTTGGCATCATCATTATCAAAAACAGCAACATCAGTGTTGGCACTGGTGCTTCACTGCCGTACTCATAGTTGTACGAGGGCTGGGATACTGCCAAGGCGCTCACATCTAGACAGGAGGACGATTAAGGTCCTCATCCAAAGCCTTTGGCTCAAAAGCCTAACCGCAAGGCAGCGGTGTTTGGCGGGAAATGC